ACATCTGTGTCATTAGGGAATTGCAATTTAAAACAAGATTTCTATTAAAAATGACTAAACATCAAAATACTGATAACACCAAATGCTATTGAGCTTGTGGAACAACAGGAACTCTCATTCGTTGCTGGTAGGAATGCAAAATAATACACCATCTGGAAGACAGTTTGACAGTTATTACATAGCTAAACTTAGTGTTATATTATCCAGCAATTACGATTTTCGGGATTTACTTAAATTAACACTTTTAGTTATAATTGCCAGAACCTGAAAGAAACCAAGATATATGAGGGGGGACTCCACAAAAAAATTGAAATTATCTTCTGGGGGCAAGTCCTTGTAGCACAAGTTTCCCCTCCTAAGTGAGTCTTTCAGGAACCCCATTGTGTCAGTTTACCAGCTGCATTGTTGCGAGCATCTACATTAAGCTTCAGTGAATTTGTTTTTCAAGCATCTTTCAATATGTTTACCCCTTTCACCACGGGTGATTTATGAGCGCACCTGCTCACACCACACAGAGTGTTCAGCAGCTTTTGACCAAAAACAGCTATGACCCCTGTACCCCACTCTTCCTAGTCATCCCATCTCGCCCAGAGTGACTTTTTTGTTTCCCCAGATGAAGAAAGTTCTCAAAGGAAAATATTTTGCCTATGCGGAAGAGGTGAAACAGAACATGGCAGAAGCACTAAAAGGCATCAAAACCCACAAATTCAAAAACTCTTTTGAGCAGTGGAAAAAATGTCTCAATAGGTGTATTCTATCAGATGGAAAGTACTTTAAAGGTGACTGAAGTTTAAACATTGTAAGAATAAATACACATTTTTTAATAAAAATTCCATTGTTTGGGTCTCCTCTCATATTTCAATAGGGAAATGTATGAACAAGCTATGGTATAGTCACATAATGGAATGTTATGCAGAGATAAAAAGTAATGAGCTGTCAAGCCACAGAACGATGTGGAGGAAACTTATATGCATATTTATAAGTGAAATTAATGAGTTTTAAATGACTTATATACTGTATGATTCCAATTACATGACATTCTAAAAAAAGGAAAAACTATGGAGATCAGGATTTGTAGAAGCTGGGTGCGGCAAGGGGCAAAACCTGAACATAGAGGAGTGTCGGGGTAGTGAAAATATTCTGCATGGTACCACAATCGTGGCCACACATAAACACATTTCTCCAAGCTCATAGACCGAACAACTGAATGTGTGATAAATCCCAGTGTCAATTATGGATTTAATAATCTCAATATTGGCTCACTTATTGTAACAAATGTATCATAAAAGTGCAATATATTGATATTAATAACATATTAAAATAGGGGAAAACTATATGTGAGGTGGAGGACTAAAGGGATGTATGAGAAATCTTTGTATTTTCTACTCTTTTTTTGCTGTAAACCTGCAACTGCTCTAAAAATAAAATATTTTAATTAAAAAAAAAAAGAGTAGTGTAGAATACTTATTAACCCACATGTATAGGGGGACAAAGATGTGTGGTACTAACCTGTCTCACTTGTCTTACATTTTCTTTGTATGACAAGATCATCAAAAGCTACAGAATCATTGTATTGTTGCAAATTGTCTTAATAGTTTTCTCTAGATTTTAAGTAGAGATGATATTGTATATATGAATGGGAGCTTAATATTATGAACTAAAAGTAACTAACACGTGTAATCATCTTGCTACATTAATGGAGGGATTTTGGAGGTAAACAAAACTAAGTTAAAGAAGTAAAATGTTATCTGAAATTGTTTTGGTGGACAAAAGCCTCACTTTACTTTCTTTTTTTTTTAAATTTTTATTATTTTGTTGTTGTTCAAGCACAGTTGTCTGCATTTACCCCCCACCCCAGCCATCCCCACCTCCCTCCCCTGAGTCCTCCCTCGCTCCACTTTCTTTTCATGAACAACATCAATCAAAATGTGGCAAAGAGAAAATGTTTGTTATATCAAAGTTGTTTATAAAATCAAAGAGAACACCATGTTTCAATATATTTGCATTGTTAGTTAATTCTCAAATGTCTCTTTCATTAATTATGACCTTTAAACTAGCTTTCTCGTTGTTGAATAGTAATTTAGATTTGCATTATGTGAAATATGTTGGCAATTAAGTCAAGTACAGAAATTCAAAGACTATCTTGATCTGCAGACCTTAAAAAATATATAGGTTATATATCCCATAAATTTTAAAGAAAAGTTGTTTTGAATATTTTCTGAGAGAAAAATAACCAAGTGCAAAACACCTTTTCCACCCTCCAAAATGCTATGTAGAATATGAAACCTTTTCCAAGTTTTCAAAGCTCATATTAATCTATCTATAACATTTTAGTTTCTAAAAAAATAGTATATTGGAATTTTAGCTATATAAAGCAGATCTTTAATTTAAATAAAAATCTAACCTATGACCTCCTCTTACTTTTTGTGTAGTATCAGAGAATTTTAAACATGATTAGTTTTGCATTACAAAGGTAAATAACGAAGAGTTAACACTCAAATTGATCAGTATTACTATTTGTTAATAATGGTTTGATACTAATATAATAAATGCAATAAAGTGATACCAATACAAATACATTGCATTTAAAGGTAGTAAAAGAGGAGGGACACCAAAGCCATTCCATAAAAGCCACAGCAGTGAGTTCATTCCATCCATACAAGGAAGTCACATCTCCTTCCCACAGAATAGGAAACAAGGACAGATCAGCGGCTGGCTGAGACCAACCTGGCAGCTGCTCCTACTCATTATTTACAGATTATTTTCTCAAATACAAATTAGTCACAAAATTATAGCATATGAACCATTTTGGTTACTGAACATCTGACTCAAACCATAAGAGCCTTTCTCCAGTTGAATAAGATAACTTGTTTAACACATTGCTTAATACAAGGTCACAATGATTTACTATACATTCCAAATGCTTCATAGTCACATTTATGTCTATCATTCATTTTGCTGGCTTGCTGTACATGATGTGAAAAAAGGGTTCAATTTTGTTCTTTTGCAGTATTTCCAGCACCAGTTTTGAAGACAAGTTTTTCCCCACTGAACCTCTTAGCACTCTTGTTGAAAATCAACAAAATATAAATGTGAAGGTGAATTTTTGGACTCTCAATACTGTCTCAGTGATGTGTATTTCTTACCCATTTGCCAGTACAGTGAGTACTGTAGCCCTGCATTGTTGTTAATCATAAAGTGTGTGTTCTCTGATGTTCTTTTTACTTTTATTTTTAATTTATTATTTATTTTTAGAGAGGGAAGGGAGGGAGAGAGAAAGAGAAACATTAATGTGCGGTTGCTGGGGGCCGTGGCCTGCAACCCAGGCATGTACCCTGACTGGGAATCGGACCTGCGACACTTTGGTTCGCATCCCTCACTCAATCCACTGAGCTATGCCAGCCAGGGCCTTGATGTTCTTTTTCAAGAGTATTTTTACTCTTCTGGGTCCTTTGCATTTCCATATGAATTTTAGGATCATCTTGTGAATTTCAAAAACAGAGCCAATCAAGGGATAATGTTGCATATGCCGTATCTATCCATTCAGCTAGGACTTTAATGTCCTTCAATAATGGTTTATATTTTCCAGTGCAGTCTTCCATTTCCTTTGTTAAATTTATCTGTAAATGTTTTATTACTTTTTATGTTATTTAAATAGCACCATATTTGGACTATGAAAATTAATAAACATAAACCTCACTTAAAATGAAGTTGGAGGCTAGGTTAGAGACCTCCCATTTAAGTGCTAAGGACCCCAGTAGGAAGACATGACTTTGACTCTCTAACAGGAAGTGATGTTAGTTTTCTACCTCAGCAGGAGGACAAAAAGATTCCTCCTCACCTAGTAACAGCTCAGCCAATGGTAGACTGCCATAATGCAGCCAATGGAAAGTCACTATGCTTTGAACTTTTAGTTTCCTCCAGTGACTTTGTTTACAACAGCCTTTCCCAAGCCTAACAAAGAGTATTCCTTTTCTTTGTTTCTGTGGACTTGAGAGTCATTCACCATTAGACTGTATGCCCTGAATTGCAAATTTTTGTGGTTCCTAGACAAACTTATTTTTCTAAAAAAATAATCTGGCAATTATCAGCAGATTTGTTCATCCCTGGTATAGAAATGCAATATGTTTAAGCATATTATTATCATATTTAGCAAATTTGGCTGAACTCATTTAATACTTTCAATGTTTTATGTGTTCCTGTGTATGAATTCCTTAGGATTTTCTATATATAAGATTGTGGTATCTACAAATAGAAGTAGTTTTACTTTGTCATTTCCAAACTATAAACTTTATTTATTTACTTATTTTCCTTCATTATGTGGCTTGGCTAGAGCCTCCAGTGAGATATTGAATAGAGATGGTAAGAGTAGACACCCTGGTTCTAGTGGGAGATCATCTACACTTTCACCATCAAATATAATGTTAGCTATGGGGTTTTAGTAGATGGACTTCAACAGGTTGATGAAGTTTTTTCTTTTTTCCTGCTTTGTTAAGTGTTTTTATCATGTAAGATTGGGTTTTGTCAAATGCTTTTAATTGCATCTGCTGAAATAGCCATGCCATTTTTTTTTGTCTTTTATTATATTATGTTGGCGTATTACATTGATTTGTCTACATTGAGGTAACCTTGACTTCCTGGGATAAATCACACATGGCTAGCTACAGTATATAATGCTTTTATATAAATTGCTCTTTCTGATTTGCTAAAATCTGATAAGCTTTTTTCTGACTATGATTGTACGTTATATTGGTCACTTTTCTTGTAATGTTTTTATCCTGCTTTAATAGTAAGGTAATAACGGCCTTATACAATGAATATGCAAGTATTACCTTCTCTTCTAATTCTGGAAGAATTTTTGAAGGATTGTACTAATTTTTTCTTAAATTTGATAGAATTCATAAAGGAGGTCATCTAGACCTGAATTTCTCCTTGGAGGAAGTTTTTAAACTATTAACTAATAGTTTTCCTAGTTGTAGTTCTGAGATGTTCTATTCTTAATCAATTTTGGGGGTTTGTGTATTTCTAGAAATTTGTCCACTTTACATAGAATATCTAATTAGTTTATATAAAATTTTCAATTAGCAGTAATCCCACCTCTGATAAACCTCTTTGGCTATGATACTGCCACTGCTCAAAGCTAGTATGCATAAAATTTTCATAGCACTTTCCTTATGTTCTTTTTTATTTTTGTGAAGTCAATAATCATATCACCTCTTTTGTTTCTGCATTAAGTAATTTGATATCTTCTTTGTTGTTATTATTATTAATTTTCCCCCACCCTTGGTTTTCTACTGATTATTTCTTTAAATGAAGATATAATTATCTTTACTGATGACATTCAAATATCTAATACTATTTAGCATTGGTATTGATCAGAATGAATGATGTAGGTCACACCAGTGAGAAATAGTTTAGACACTTCCTGCTGTGCCAGATGTTAACGTCTTGTTTTTTAAAGAGAGGATCATAGGATGCTAAAATATTGGGCAACAATCCAGTCACTTGGAGCAGAGGTTACTGCCCAGGTGGTTTAAAAGAATTTCAATATTTTAATAGCTGGTAATTTTGTACTGGTACTCACCTGCTGAATAGCAGTCTTATTTATAACTCTCAAGACTGCTTCTTGATGCAACTTACTGGTGTGAGTTCAGGAATTAGATAGTGGAAACATTTGCACAATTCTATGAATATAATAAAAGCCACTGAATTGTTTATTTTAAAATAGAGAATTTTATGATATGGAAATTATGTCTTAATAAAGCTATTATAGAATACATTAAAACCATAATAAAGTCAATGCATTTTGCATAAGTTTTAAATTGAGAATACCAATTTATAAATTGTACGAACCTAGAGCATTTAGGTTTCAATGGTGATCTATAATTATTAGATTTATAATTACATGAACCTGCTCTAGAAAAGATAAAATGAAGGACAATTAAAAATTAGTTTTATGGTTTTCAAACTTTTTGCAAGTTTTTATTGTTTAAATATGACTTTAAAATGTACACTGTGCATTTAGTTTGGCTCCTTAAAAACTAATTAACAGACTCATAGATACAGAGAACAGACCGATAATTATCAGAGGGGAAGGAGTTGGAGGGCTGGGTATAAAGGATGAAGGTGATACAGGTAGACCTGGCCAGACTGAAGGAGAAAGGAGAGGCTGAGAGGGAACCGCCCCAAGGCAGGGGAAGCACCACCCCAGTGAGGTAGGTGCCTGATGACAGATTGTCCGCCCCAGGGCAGAGAAGTGGCAGGAGGAAGTCATTGAACATGCTTGAGGCTAGTGAGTGACTGAAAAAGGGAAAAGCTCTCCTACCCAATTCCAGTCCCTGAATGAGGGAGGGGCCAGAGGACACAGTGGCACATGTACCTTAAAAGTCAAAATGGCTACAAGGGAGGTGCTGTGCTGGAATAAGACCTGCCACTCCTGGCCTGAGAGAAGGACAGAATTGCCTGGGGTCCCTCGACCCTTCCAGAGTGCCAGAAAGTTTGGGCCAAAAGATTTAAACAGACAGAAGGGATATATGTGCACCTTTTCCTCTTAGATCCACTGGCGCACCTGAGCGGACCAGAGCGTTTGTGGGATTGACTAGGTCCTGGAAGCTGTATGGCAGTGTTCCTGCCGGCCCCACGTGTGGACCCTGGGAGGGAGCCTGAAGCGGGAGAGCCATCCCCTTAGCAGCCTCATGCTCCAAAGGTGTGGGATTTCTGGGTACTGCTTTGGGTTTTAGTGTTTGGGGGAACAGATGGTCTTTTTTGTTGCAGAAGAGAGGATCCTAGAGCTGGGGAGTGTCCTATCCTCCCAAATTGTGCAATCTTTTAATAAGGACCTCTTTCCTTGCCTACCAACTTTGTCTTGGAAAGTTGTCTGTTGGTGTCTGCAGGCAGCTGAAAACCAACTTTTGTTCGGTAACAAGGAGATTAAGAAAAAACAAAACAAAACCCATAGACACAGACAACAGTATGGTGACAGCCGGAGGGAAATGGGGGTCGGGAAGGTAAAAGAAGGTAAAGGCGGGAATAAAGGGTGATGGGAAGAGACTTGACAGAGTGGTGAACACACAATACAACACACAGATGATGTGTTATACAATTGTATGCGTGAGACCAATATAATTCCATAACCAATGTCACCCTAAAATTCAGATTTAAAAAAAAATGTAGAGTCCCTGACAGTAAATCATGTTTAAGAAGCTCTAAGGTGTCTTCAAAAACTGTGAATGGTTTACTTCTAAAAGAATGACATTTAACGATGTACCTTTGAAGGGTCCCCAGTGTAAAATGAAACAGTGTTCTGTGTTGATCTTACATGGTACTCCTTTGGAGATTAGTGAAGTTATTATCTCTTGTAACTTGAAGAGCTATTTCTTATGTTAATGGTAAAGTGGAAGTAACATACTTCACAGGAGATACAAAAAGTGTTAACTTTTCTTTTCCCTCAAGGAATTAGAGTCAGTCATAATCTCAGTAAAAAGGATGAGATCATTATTTAGGTTGAGACCGTTTCAAGATGAGAGAAGACATGAAAACTGGCATATGTCAAGATTTTTGAAAAGCTAACATTAAATCACACACTTTGAGAAGGTATCTGTTAAGAATTCAATTTAAGCGGAATTAAGTAAAATACATGAAGCTGAATAATTCCCCATATTTTCTTGGTGAGTAGAATTAGAAATATTATAAAAACATTTTTAGATTATAATCCCATTACATTTAAATATATAAACAAGTATATGTATAATTTGACTCTTAATTACGTTAAAGGTATTTACAAATTATAGGGAATATCTAAGTTTTAAACATGAAATTATTTCAGTTTATATAAAATCTAAGTTAACTTTAATATATCAAATGATATTCTAATGGCATACATTAATAACTTTCTACTTTTTTACTAATAACAATAAAGGAATTATTATCTTTTTTTAAAGATTTTATTTATTTATTTTTAGAGAGGGAAGGGAGGGAGAAAGAGAGAGAGAAACATCAATGTGCGGTTGCTGGGGGCCATGGCCTGCAATCCAGGTATGTGGCCTGACTGGGAATCGAACCTGCGACACTTTGGTTCGCAGCCCGAGTTCAATCCACTGAGCTATGCCAGCCAGGGTAAGAATTATTATCTTAATGATGTTTCCTTTTTTTCTGTATATATTCCAATATAATTATTTAAAATCACTAACATTATTATCATCATCATTATTGCTATTATTAATCCTTCTATGTCAGGTTCACTTATACATGAGTTGCTGTTGTATCATCTGATATAATCAGGCCATGAGTTTATGAAAAAGAAGCTAATATTTAGCCCTAATTTTAGAGAAGAGAACAACCAATACACAATGTATTTCATATAGTTCCATGGTATAGTGCATATTACAGTTGGGATTGAGGATTGAAATAAATTTAATCTTATGTAGCAATTTATTTCTTTAACTCTTCACCATTGAAATTTTTTCAAGCAAATTTCCCCCTTCTTTCACAATCTAACAGGCCTGGAAAGGAAAATCTGAAATTCTGGATTATAATCTATCCACACATATTAGTCTATGATTGTGGCATACATTTTAGGAGAGGTTTTGATATAATTGGAAAACTTTGGGTATATATCCTTGTTTAGAGATTTATAAGACACAATAGTAGAACAAAGATTGTGATGCACTGAGGTTAGGATATTTTTTATATCAGCAATACCAAAACTTATTTCAACACCGAATACTGTTTTCATTAAACAAATGAGAGAGTAATCATGGAAACAATAATATTAATAATTAATTTTAAATGATTTGCTCTTGTTTTATCTTATATAGAAATATATAGAAAAGAAGTTTTTACTAATTAATGTGAAGGCATGGGAATCTCAGTACTGAAAAGAAAGCGTACGCAGAAACTAAGATGACAGATGCATGCACACCTAGATGAGGAAGAGAAAGGTGTAGAGCACAGAACGCCATGAATGAATATGAGTTTGTGAAGACAATGCATAGTGGTTAGTATTCAGAGACAAGGTGAATAAATTCTCTTTTTCCACTTATAAGCTAGTAATATCCAGTTATTTATTCTCACCTTGCCTAACTACCACCTTAATTTTACTTTCATAAAGTTAGTCTATTTCTGTTATGATGTTGTCCTTGCTATCCATACTCATTTACTCAGGGATTCCTTAGACTTATCAGTATTTATATTGCCTTGTATAAATAGGGCGGATTTTCAGACAGGCAATCTATTCTAAATTAACTGAAGAATTTTATAGATGTCAATTTTCTGCCAAGATAAATATCACCCTGGAAATAACTTTGCATTTTATTCATAATATGCACTATCAGATAAAAACTACTTCTGACTAGTAAAAATGCTTTATCTTAAAAACATGTGTATCTTCAAAAAGATTTAGAATGGTCACCCAGTCATCTGGGAAAACTAAGGGTCAATCTCAACTCTAAATTACTTTTTTGTGCTAATGGATACATCTTGTTAATGATATAAAGACTTAAGAAGACTGCTCTTAATTATAACATTATATTTGCAAAACAGTCCATTGTTTTTGATAACTCTCACTTTGATAAAGTGATATGATATTTTAGGTTATGTAACTACATAAAATACTGTTTTATTTTAGACTAACTACTATGGAATATCCAAAAATAATGACAAATAATACTTACAAAAATTATAAAACACAATTTACGAACAGGGATATGTGTGTCAGAGAAATAGAAGCTTATGTCTCATTTTGGCCTAGCACAAAAAATTAATCTTCAAAATTGCTTAACTGAGTGAACATGTAGATAAAATAATTTCTGGCACCTATAATTTATGCTTTTTGCAGTTTGACTGAATGACCAAATTATAATAGTACAATAACCTGAAGGAACCATATAGAAACCTATTAAAAGAATAGAAACAAAGCACAGCAAGCCTCATAGCTCATTTCTCAGAAATTACATTCAGCCTTTTTGTGGATTTGCATTCTTAGTATTACATATTCTTAGAATTATGCGAAGGAAATTCCACTGCTTAGGCTTGAGAATGGAGCAGGCCACTGGGGCAACAACAACAACAACAACAACTGATGCATGGGTCCCCAGCCAGCAGTGACCATGGAACGCTGTGGATGGCTCGACAATAAACACGCG